AGGCCTATTTTCCTCCTTTTGTTCTCTGCACTAAACTATTATGCTGCGCCTTTCTGATTTATTCTTTTGCATACACACGTGAGTATGATGTTGTTACTTGGTCCGATCATATATACAGGATATTAGTAAATTTCAATAAAAAACAGAATCATTTGATTCTTTAAAAATGTGTTTTTGTTTATTTTTCCAAAAAAGAACGGCGAATTTTGAGTGATTGAACATGTGATTATTAGGTGCTATCGAATAGATGAATGTGAAAGGGTAAAATTCTTAAACTTACAAAAAATACAAAGCAACATACCATAGATCTAATCCATTTTTCAAACTCAGAATCTAACGAAAGATCCTGGATTGCGGAAGTCCGATTCTAGTTCAAGTTTCCAAAGACCACAATATTTTTTTCAACACTAATGAATTTGATATCATTGTATTTTCCCCTACTTTGCGTATTCAATGGTGAAAGCTGCAGATCGATAGCTGCTTCCATGTTCGAGATATTCAAAAAAACGTTCGTGTTCATTATATTTTGCCGTAGATAGTAATTTTGTTCAATGTTGTATTAGACTTAAATTTTATTAAAGTGAATCATAATCAAATTAGGAAGCCATCCGATGAGTCGCTGGAGAAAGGACGAACCCGGTCCTGGCAGGATGTCACATCCACACCCGTCAAGATCTTGCATCTGAATGGGATTAATCTAATTGCGCAAATGAACAACAATATATGAATTACGATACCTTCTTCTTATCGAAAATCGTTTGAAACAAAGATTATAATATCTTTGTGTTAGAGTCGTTTCATGTATACTCGTTCAAATCAAATCAAATTGATGTCACAGATCATTTTTAATAATAAAAATATTGTCGACGTAGTCACATAGAGTCTGAGGAGTTCAAGAATGTCTTTCTCTTCTTTTGTTTGATTCTTATCTAAAGTTCTTGAAAACGGAATGAATTCTCTGTAAATATGTTCAAATATATGACGCTTTGAAAGCAAAACCCTAATACAAATTGATTTGAATAACTTTTGCATTGATTTGTTTCCATACAAATTTGCAGAAAAATCAACTTGTCTTAGGCAACAAATGCAATGAGGATATCGAGAACGATCATAGTGTAATGTCTAAAATAATCAACCACCAAAATGCGACATCTATTTCGTGTTTTCACGACATTCGTGATAAACGCGCTCTCATATTTAATTTCAATTTTTTCCATAGTGATACTTTAGTAAACACGGCGATGAGTATATCAGAATGAACCCAGAAATTGAGTTTTATCGCAACCAATAAATACCAAGCTTCTTATTTTCCGTCTCTATGATACCGATAGCAAGACTAATTCCTTCATTATCAACAACAATATCACTCGATGACTCAATAAACAGAAAGAAGAATCCATAGAAGAAATGAAAGTGCACACAAAACATTCATATGCGCGTGCACAATGACAAAGTTACAGACGAAGAATATTTATTTCGCTAGACACGGCGAACGAATCGATTTTATTGACAAAAAGTGGAAAGAAACGACAAAATGGCATTTGAATCCTCCGTTATCATCATACGGTCTCGAACAAGCACATGAACTCGGTCTATACGTCGCCAAAATTCAGCCACGAATAACTCATATATATGCATCACCCTTTTTACGTACAATTCAAACTGCACTGCAAATAGCCATAGAGCTGAATAAGAATGTTTCATCACCTCATGAACTTACAAAAATTCGAGTGGAACTAGGGTACGGTGAATATTTCCTTTACGACGATATATCGGATGAAAATTACATCTATCAACCCTTTGATCAACTATCTGAAACCTCTCAAAACGCTGATTATTTTGATTACAATTACGATAGCGTCTACAAATCTAATTACTATTCACAAGCGAGACAAGAGACTCGTCAGCAACTGCGTGATCGTTTGACACAAGTCCTACGATGTACGCTAGATGCTCACACAGTTGACTGTAATATTTTAATTGTTACTCATGCAGCAACATTGATCGAAGGTGTCAGAGCACTATTGACAGTCAGTAAAGAACGAAGTCAGGAGGTGGTAACGAAAGAAGAAATCACAATCACAACGAACCAAGAGAAAAATAATCTTTCTGCATGGGATATGTCTCCGATTCGAGCAGGAGTCTGCAGCTTAACCCATTTGGAATTGCTGGATGACAATTGGACTGTGTCGAAGAATGGACTCACTTCGTATTTATCCAAAGGCGAACAAAATTTTTGGATGTTTCCTGATGATGCACCATTATATGAAAAAATATAACTTTTCGTTTAAAATTGAAACTATAATCCATATTGTAAACTTGAGGGTGGGTGTGGGTGTGGAATGAGCGTAGGTGTGGGTGGGTGTGGGTTGAATGTAGGTGTGACTGGTATTCATTCCTTAGTGTGATCCACATCCACACCCACACCCTTAATTTCTACACTTTGTAATAAATTTTTTGTATGATTTGAATTTGTATTATCAATTAATTGACGACCTTGAATATCTAAAATATCATAACTTTTTTCTCATGCTTGTGCAACCATCATTGCTTGATAACGTTCAAATGCTTCATCACCTTCGATAATATAAAATAATTTAATGATATCATTGATATATGTAAACGTTTCATAAATAATTCAAGTAAACGAGTTTTAGAATTATCGATATTTGATACTGTACCAATTGCACCGGATTCTAATCGATTATAAACTAAAATTTAAAAAAGAAACGATTTATTTTAATTCAAATTTTTGTTCTTTACTTCGATGAGCACGTGAATAAATATTAACATCCTGCAAAAAAGATATATTTATTTTAAATATTAGAAAATTAAATTTATTAATACATTAACATTTTTATGAAATGATTGAAAAGTATATTGATCTATTGGCCATGAAAATGAATCAGTTAAATTCATCGCTGCTGTTAAAGCATCAGAAAATGTATTTATCTCTACATTATTCATTGATTTTTTATCTACAAACCATCCTATGAATATATATATATCTTTATTATTATTATCAATTGAAATTATCAATACATACCAATTGGAATACTACTTTGACTTTGAACAGAAAAAATTAGGAAAAAATAAATCGTAGTTTTAATCATATTGTTAAATCTTATGTTCAACCGGAAAGGAAAAGAAAAAGAAAATGATGAGAGTAGATATCTTTCATGTTGTTGTTATGTCTATATGTATGAGAATATATATATATTCCATGATTAAATGATTTTATTATCAAGAGATTTAATAATGACAATAGGAAGAAAGAAGATAAGATGAGATGGACCGGAAAAAGAATTAGTACGTACGACAGTGAACGACGAAGATGCCAGTGTTCTAATCGATTGATCGATCGCTTGAAAGCATGATGAAACGTTATTAATGAATAGGAAAAAGAATATTCTTGACTTAGAACAATAGTAATAAACATGATGTCATTTTAACAGATTGATGTCATATATATATATGTATATTTTATTCCGATAACATACAATCTTGTTTCATTTTTGTATAAAATATCTATTAATAAAGAGCTACGTGTTTAATACAAAATACTATTTCTATTTGATTAACTAAATTCAATTATTGTTTAAATATTTAAGT